TGAAAACACATATATTATTTATGATGTTATGCTATTAGAAGAACTTGTGAACTTTACAAATGAAAGAGAAGTCTGCACTTGCTTTTTACCTCATTTTTACATACTGATGCCTGTCAACTTTCCAAACACTTGCTCCAGGCAGGTTGTCCAATTTATTCCTCAGTCACAAAATCTTTTACATACTTTATCCTCTGAGAATTTATCTTGTCCTTTTTCTTCACTAAGCAAAAATACATCCTGGTCACTGTCTAACCTGGGTTTTTCTCAAGCACCACCAATGAATTCCCCCTTGAGCATTCCTCAATCTCATCTCTACTTCCAAAGGTCTTCTTACTGAGATCTGAAGGCAGCAGCATATATTTTAGATGAAACTTCAGTGCCGATTTTCAGCCCAATCTATGGCAGTAAGACTAAAAAGACAAACAAGCAGTATGAACAAGCCTAAGATGGTCCCATGATCCCTGCCTCCTACTGTTCACACCTGCCTTTGTGTAATCCCTTCCTCTTCAGCAAAGGTGGGAGCTGCGATTTGTTTCTAGCTAATGCTATAGCAAAGGTGACAGGAAGTATGGGACTACATTACTGTACACAAGGCTACAATGTCTATCCTGCAAGGAGATGCCCTCCCTCACTGCCTTTGATGAAGAATGGGAGGCCCATGTGGTAAGGAGACAAATGCTACAACCACATATACCGGAAGCAGATCCTTCCTCAGTAGAGCCTCAGATGAGACTGCAGTCTATGAGTGTAAAATAGAGGACCCTAGCAAGCTGTGGCCAAGTGTTGACCCACTAAAACTGTGAGATGATAAATGTGAGAGATGTTTTAGTTACTACATTTGTGGTTATACCGGTATGCAGCAATGGAAAATCTACCTGGGAATGATAAAGCAGCTGTGACATCTGAGAGCTAGCCTGGTACCATGAGCAGGCCTCATGCTGCTGGAAGCTGGCCTGCACTTGCACTCAGGCTCTGATATTAAATATAAGTAATTTCAAAGAACACCAACACCAAACCAGGCCACTTCATGACTGCCAGCAAGAATCAGGCAGAAACAAGACCTTCTGTAATCACATCTAAACATGGACAAAAACACAAAAATGGTCCAAATGACAAAAACATCCTTTATATACATTATTATAAATTATACCTGCACAGAGAAGGTACTCATGGTAGATTCTGTTTCTGCAAAACAGATCTGTGCCTCTAGATCTAAAAAATGTTTTAAGATCCACTCTTATGGAGATACTTGCTAAGGATGTCCTAGGTGGCAGACTAAGTAYTAAGGTGGATTCATTCCTCTCATGTCTTACAGATAAGATTAAGATGCGTACTCACAAATGCAACTGTATGGAATCCAACATAGAACAAAGCTCCATTTCCTTGAAGCCTCCCCCAAACCAACCAACACAAATCCAAATCCTACACTGAAGCTTTTAAAATACCGTCTTACTGAGGAGCCCCCACAATACCATTAGTATATGCACTACCTTACCATATTCGGCAATAAACCCACCTGTTCAACCCCAGGTGTGTTCCTAATTGAAGGCAACTAGTCTTTGGATAGAGGCACTGACAAAACAGTAACAAGCAAAAAAATGAGTTAAGCAACAAGGAAAATGCCAAACGTGACTTTATCACAGAACTTGAATGAAAACAGAAGCATAAGCCAATAAAACAATAAAGAGTCCAACTACAAAAATGGAATAAAGTTAAGTGTTTCAAAATGAGTACAAGGATATTATTTGACAAACTGTATAAGTGGATAGGAATAACAAAACTGAGATGGATCCACACTTCAGACTAAACAAACTCTACAAATTAAAGAATTAAATAACTTAATAAATGATTAGCTGAAAGGTAATGGACTATTTTATCACATCTATGGAAAAGCAATGAATTTCTCATTTGGGAACAATAACAAAAGAAAAGATTACCTAGTTTATATACAAATTTCTTAAATGTAATGAAAAACAACAAAAAAGATAAAAATTAAGGGCTGGGGCTATAGCTCAGTGGCAGAATACTTTCCACTGAGGCACTGGGTTTGATCCTCAGCACCACATAAAAAWAAATAAAGGTATGCTGTCCATCTACAACTACAAAAAAATTCTTCCATCTTCAGTGGTCCAAACAGTCCCTGCGTAGCAAGTTAGATAGACATCAAAGCTGGGAATGCTGTGGGGTATGCTATAAAGCCCCTTTAGGACAGTATTTTATCTTGTCACAAACTTTTAATGCAGCAAGGAGGAGCCATAACCCAACCATCTAAGTCCCAGAAAATCTTTCAGCAAAAATTTTTGGCTCAGACTTTATAATATTACCTAAAGGCAAACAACTAGAAACAACTTTCAAAATCTAATGATAGTGCTGAGAATGTGACGATCATTATTATCCAAAGTACATGATTGAAGACATGAATTGATGTGAATATACAACCAGAGATATAAAAAATTGTGCTCTACATGTATAATAAGAATTGTAATGCATTCCGCTGTCATATATAAATAAAAATAATTAAATCAAAAAAGAATTATACCAACTAGATATCACAGAAATAAAACTAATGGGTCAACACCCTTATGCGTATTCATAATTTTTCCAAATAACCAAACTCTACTACTTGTTTATTTGGTGATATGTGCCTTTGGTCCCAAACTGATTTTTAAAATTTACTTTGCTGAATTCACTTATGAACTTGCCAGCATGTACGTCTTTTTGTTATTCATATGTGATGTGTGATTTGATGTGTCTGATTTTAGCATTGCATATGCATCTTTAAATAAATGGGACTGGCTCAAGAATATAAAAATAATCTAATGTTAGGAAAATGTTTAGTGAATTATGTTGTATGATCATATGAGTATCAAAATAAACATGACAGAAAGATGTGAAATGTTTCAGAAGTGATGCAAAACCAGCTAGCCAACCAATCAACCAACACACCCACCTACACTATAAAAGGCCAATAGCTAAAGAGCTATAATGTGCCAGTACTGTTTGAGGTATTCTGGTCACAGCTCATTTAATCTGCACAATACCAGGCAGAAAAATAATATTTCTATTTTGCAGAAATTTTATAGGGCAAAGAGTAGTTAAATAATTGGCTAAGACTACATAATGAAAAGTGGAAGACATAGATAGGAACTAAGATATGATTCCACATGCTACTTCTAACCACAGGCCTCTCCTACCTCTTTCAGACATAAATGTAGCTTGCAATCATGCACAGCTACGAATATCTGGGGGCAAAAACAACTAGATAACATGAAAATGTAAAATTGCTGTGACATAGGAATAGTATTAAAGGCAATTTAACTTTTAAAACTGTCAACTTTAGTACTACATGATCTACTCAATGAAAACAGAGACAATCAATCCATGAGTGCTTGACTTTCTTCAAAGCCCATGTCCTTGGAAAAAGAGATGTGGCATTTCCTTCTGTTCCAAAGTTCACTTTATTCTAGGAGAATGAAGTAGTAGAAGGGAATAGTACAGGACTGATACCAGAATGCAGCACAGATCTGCACAGGAGTGAGAAAGAAAGCTCAAGAGGTGAGAGCTGCCTGGGGAATGTAGGTAAGCTTCYGCCTCCTACTGGGGACAGTGCTAGGGAGGAGATTCGGACCTCCTTTGGTTGAAGGTATGCCTGACTACTCTCCTGTTAGTATAAATGCAGCTCCTATCTGTGCAGTGAACAAGTCTGGWGACACAATCAGAGTCCCTGAAGAAACAGCCATGGGTGCCTGGTCCAGTTGTCCTTTTTCCCTAAAGAAACTGAATTCACAACATCCTGTGTACAGACTCATGTAGCCAGTGGCACAGACTCCGGTCTTGCCATTTCACGTATGTGTGCTGACAGTAGACTAAGGCACTTTCTTCTTGGGGCAGTGATTTAATCACTCTTTCTGTAACTACATCTTCAAGTCTTTTGAGTTTACTTGTATTTTTAGAACAACCAAAATCCTTTTCTGGTCAACTCTCAGATGACACTGATCAATTTCATCCTTTCTAGATGGCACATGGAAAGAAAGGAGACTGGAGTCTCTTGAGAGTTCAATTAAAAAGCCCATGTTAAAAGCATTTACCTGGGGGATGGGGAATGAAACTCCAGCCCCTAAGTTCAAACCAGTCCTATTCAGTCTTGCTCAGAAGCCCCCTCTCTTGGTGGGACATGACTGCTTGCTATGTTTAAGGCAGATCATACCCCTAGGTCATAGGTGACTATACAACTTGTGCAATAATTTAGCAAGGTCACCACTGCACAGAAGGCAGAGGTAGAACTACTTTGTTGTCTAAGCTTTGAACAAGGAGAACAAAGCTAAACGCTTCAACAGACATCAACATTTGAAGACAGCAGACTGAGTGTGGCTGAGGAAGTAAGGATGTGAAACAATGCCCTGTAAATCTGACCATACCGATACTACATCTCAGCCAGGCCAGAATCAGTTATGTGCAAAATGATTAATCACCACCTCCCTGAAATATTCAAGGTTCTCCTGCCTTTTCTTAGGAAAAAAAAAGCTAATTCTGAAATATGACTTTCAGGCTTTTGTTCATTCTATACTCTTTTAATAAAGCAGAACAAAAAATTTTGCCTTGGGCTTGGCTGAGTTATGGGACTTATCTCCTAAGTAGTAAAAAGCTTCATTCCTCAGTCCAATCGCCAAATCCAGCTCAAGTTATAAGAAGCCTGATGAGGAAGGAAAAATGTGTGTGCCTTACCTCAGGCAACAATGTATCAAATGTGATAACTGCTGTAAGAGACATATTTTCTCTTAATACTTACAGAAAAACGGACACTGCAGAACAAAATTAATTTAGCTGATGGGCAAATGCTGATGGCTATGTGTGAAAAAGCCTGGTGTCTATATTTTTGACAAACCTGTGAGGAATTACAACCAGACCCCATCACTGTAGGGAGAAGGAGATAGGGAAGTGAGGAACAAACCCCTGGGGCATTACCTGAGGCACAGAATCCAGGGGGGGCACCCACCTACCTTCTCTGCATACTCAGACACAATCTGCTTGATCTCTGCGGAACAGAGGCCCACGATCTGACCCACGGAGCTTGCAGTGAGACGACTCTGTAATCACATATAGCATGTTCTGAAGGCTGAGCCTTGTTTTTCCACTGAACTGGAAAACCTGAACACTGAGTACTATTGCAAAACAGATAACATTCCCAGGAGAAAACATAATTTGGTTTTTGTTCACTTATACATTGACAGGAAGCAAGAAAGCAGCCTCAGAAAAAATGTCAAAGTAACCTCTTCCCATCCTAAGTCACTCAGCTGGCTGGGCTAGCTATTCCTCCAGTCCCAGATACCACTGGAAAACCACTCCTCATCCTCCATGCCCCATGGTCTGACCTCCAGAGAGTCACTAAACTGAGCCTGCAAGGGACTTAGTGGGTCTAGAACTCAAGGAAAAGAGAAAAACAAATGGGGGAAGAAAGGAATTTATAATCTCTCTTTATTGTCATAGGCCTTTTCTGGCCTCAAAAGAAATGAACCTTCCAGGCACTTGGCTGAACCTTCTGGATGGGCCTTGCACTCTGGGAAGACCAACTATAAACTCAGGATTCCATCTTCTATCTAGATGGTAGTGAAATGAAACAGAAGACAGGGGCCCCTTCACATGCGGTAGAACCCACAGTTAGGGGAGGCAGGGTTAAGGCTAGCTCTTCTGCAGAAGACCCGTCCACCAGGGATGTTCCACTCTCACACAGGTCCTTCAAGTCTCCCTCCTAGAGGTCCCCGGGAAAGACAACACTATGCATTATTCAAAGGTTCCCAAAGGAAGGACCTGAGGAACAGGAAAGGCTCTGAAGAAAGTCCCCTAGGGAGGAGGTTCCCTAGAGCAGTGCCAAGTCCCAGCCTCCATGTCCACCCCCATGGCCACTGGCCTCACCTCCTCATTTGCCATGGCGGTCATCTTGGTCATCAGTGACTGAATACGCTGCTGAAAGAGGAATGGAAGGAGCAGCAGTGAGTGGTTATGATCTCGTAAAACTGAAGCGAATGTCTACACAGGTCTCTGTGGTGAAATTCCACAAGTTGATTCCTTGACTGGGTGGTGAGGTGAGCCAYATGATGGGCGATGAGAGGGAACTGGCAGGTGAGGGTGGTGGCTCCTAACAGCTGGCTATGGAAGGCACTAGCCATTTGGGAAATCTGGGGATGGGACTATAATCTCTCCTCAGGAAACTCAGAAGACTGACTTGAGCCCCACACCTCTTCAGCCACTTGAAGCTCCTCTTCCTCGTGGGCATCTGCCTTTTCTGTAGCTGACAGCCCTGCAGGAAGTGTTGTTTTCTTGTCCTCAGCCTAAAAAGGAAGTTGTGACAACAGCTGAACATCAGAGTTGGAGATTCAGAAAGGACAACATTGTAAAGAGGCATGTGGAAACACACACACACACACACACACACACACACACACACACACACACATGCACGCGTGCGCGCGCACACACACTCACCCCTGCTGAGCTGAACCAACCTCTAAAAGCAAAAGGATAATCCAGAAGCCTAAGCTTGCATTTGATCTACGGAGCAGGCAAGTCATGATTCAGGGCCTGGCTGATATCTGTCTCCATTTCTGAACTGCTTAAATGAGCATTAGGCCACACACTTGTCAGACTTGTCCTTAGGCTCTGATGGGATTTTATCCTATTGTAGATTCAAGGGCAGATCACTGCTCATGCAGTGTTTTTTCAAACTGCCAGTTGAGATCCATTGATAGTCATACCTATTAAATGGCTTCATGTCCTATCATCCATATAAATTATACAAAAATTATATAAAATTACCTAAAAAGTTACATAAAATACTATTAAAATTAGTTAATAAATTATGTAAAATTATATTTAAAAATTTTTAATATTATATAAAAATTATACAAAAGAAAAGTGATGTCTCACTAAGCAGTAGTTTGGGGGGGGGGGTTATGTGTAATGAATCACAATGAAAAAAATTTTGAAATTGGGGTTATATCTAAGTGTTAGAGCACTTGCCCAGCACATGCCAGGCCCTTGGTTTGATCCCCTTCTGCAAAGAAAGAAAAAAATTGCTGAGGGTAATCAAAAAAGTTTGAAAATCACTGGACTGACTGAAGGAGAAAATTCCAAACTACTTCATCTCTTGATCACACTGAATGCTCTGGAACCAATCTCAGCTCTTTATGTGCCACACACACTCAAGACAGCCTGGATTACCTGTCCTCCTCTACCACCTGGATGATCTCAGGTTTACTGCTGATCGTTGGGTATCAGTATCACCCGGTGTTGAAAATGGGGATTGGTCTCAGATGCCCTTCTCACACTATTCTAACTCCAGATGCTTTGCTAAAACAACTCTACCATGTGTTCTCACTGTGTGTTCCTGCTTGGACACAACTACAGGGACATGACCTCAAATTTAAATGTGCTATATGGTATAAGAATAACAAGACAAGCACAATGTGAATACTAATTCATGGGTACCTTGTGATTTTCCCAGTTTTAACCAAACTGCCCTATTTCATAAGACATTCATATACCCAGAATTCTTTTCAAACTTAAAATTACACAACAAATTAAATGTACACATCAAACCCTTATTACATATCAGATGATAAATGATACACAACTCAAGCCCAGAAAATACCCTGCTCTGCAAGAAATGATTATTTATTTGAGTGAAAATACAAACATGGAAAAAAAATAATGAGAATAGCAAAATGAAGATAGCAATCAGTGTATAACTAATTGCCAACGAACTGCTACTAAAAGTAATTACAGCTAATACGTTTAAATGTTTACTGTGTGTTGGATCATTCTAGGTACTTTAGATTTTAATCTTCATGACAACTCTGTGAGGTAGATTCACCGATAGCCCTGTTTTATAGATACTATGAATGAAGGAAAGGTACAATGATTGTGTAAATTATCCGAAGTCACACAGTGAAGTGAAGGAGCTAGTCAGCCAGTCTGGCTTTAGAACATATGATCCTGGTCACATAAATGCACCAATGATGAGACAATCAGCCCAGGAAGTAGAGGAAGGTGGGGAAGGCTTGGGGAGCTGGACAAGTGGAATGGTGGCAGGATGCAGCATGCCCCAGTCAAGAAAATCTGAGGTTGGTTGAAAAATGAGGAAAGAGTTCATTAATCTCAAGCTGCAAGATCACCACCAAACATTTCAGTGGGTACTTTATTATTCACAAGGCAGGAGTTACAAGTACAGGCTTTGATGTCTATAGGTATCAACCAGAGATCTGGTTTCAGATTCTTATCATGGCACTTTAGGGCTTTGTGACCGTGAAGAAATCAGAGCCTCGCTGAGCTTCAACTTTCAAACCTAAGAAACAGAAATAAGTACCCTCCTCATAGAGCTGTTCAGGAGAATAGATTAAAAAACATATGCATAGCCCTAAACAGAGGGCCTGGAACACAGTAAGGGTTTGTAACTATGAGATTTATGTGTCTGTCCTGCTGCTGACAATTAAGGATCATTAAACACACACACACAAAAGTTAATTTGACTCCTTTGTGAAGTTTAAGACCCCATGCTGACTTACTGGCTCTTTCATACTTGGCTGCCTTGGTGGAAGGCAGGCCTGTAATTTACAGTTGTACGCCATCGCACCACTATGCCCTGTTCAGACCTGTCTAGAGGCCCTCAGATGAAGACTGCTCTGGGTGCCCTAGAAGAGGATTTCATCTTCACACATTTAGAGCCCACTTGATACACCCTGGGGCCATGATTTTGATCACCCTTCACCTGCAGATCCAAGGTGAGACTGCTAACTCGGCTCCCAGGTCTGCAGAGCCTACAGAATAGAAACGCCAGGACAGAAATGGAGAGGCCAAAGGCAGCTGGCACATCCTTGATGCCCCAGCTTGCCCAGGGACCAGTGCCTGGTCAGCTGCAGCCCTGCCATCCCCCACTCTTCCTGGGCCTCCCAGGGAGTTGCTACCCAGTCTATGAAGTGTCAGAGTGTCACAGAGAGGCCAAGGGGTGGGGGTGGGGGTTTGCTTCCGTCTCTCAAGTATTCTCTCCCATTATCTTTTCTTACCTTCTCTGTTTTGCTCTGGCGGCTAAATCCATATCTCCTGCAGGCCACAAAAAAGAGGGAGTTTCAATTACTATTTTAAAAAATCACAATAAATTCCAACAAATGCATCTTGGTTGGATTTTTATATTGAAAGCACCAAAGAGTGTTTAGGCCAAGTGGTGACTGGAGAAAATACTTGAAGTGCCTTATCCAGAAACATATTCCACAACTTCTTTAATTAAGGACCAGCCCTTCATTTACTACACAAATAGTATAAATGGGAACTCTCTGATGGAAGAGAGTACAATATTTCCTTAAGTGCAGTTATTACACTTTGAATCAGGAACTGCATTTCAGGATAACAGTGTAAGTTAAAAGCCTTAAAAATATCTGTTAGGCCTACAAATATGAACGATTGTCCAAGTCAAATATGCTCTCTAATTGCTTTAATAACTGAGTCCAGCACATTTTTTATTCTCAAACATAACCTAAGCATGATGTCAATAATGTGTATTCATACCATGCAAACTTAAATTTAAAAAGAGACAAGAGACAAACACACTTCAGTATAAATTAGTTTATATTTTTGGTTCAAATTAATCTGTGCTCTAAAAAATAAAAGCAACAATGCAAGAGCTATTCTACCTTTAACAAAAAGCATAATGCAAAACACTCCACCTCACATATTTCAAATAATTTGTAAGGAAATTATTACATGCAATTTTTTTAGAAAAACAAAGTAAGGCCTTTTCTCTGCCCCTGCTCATGCCATGCATCACCTGTTGGGTCAGTGTGCTGCCTCTACTGGTTTGGGGACTGCAGGCTCACCACCTCCTACTTTTCCAGTCCATTCCTTATCCAACCCTGCCTGGGTCTGATCCACATTTGTTAAGGGAAGGCCTCTTCCCTCTGGAGGAAATGGGACCTCCTTAGCAGCCTCATTGCACCTCTTCCTCCACGACCCCACCTAACAACTGCTTAGCCTCATGTCTAGAATCATGTCTGACATGTTCATGCTTCATCTACTGCCTGAACAGAGGGTTCTACACACACTGAAATGTTCTCTTCTCTCCCATTTCCCTATCTATCCTTGCCCTTCAGCTCTAAAGCCACTTCCTCTCCAAAGTGCCCATCATGTCATAAATATCATCTAGCCTTATAATAGATTGTCCTTACAACCAAAGGCCAAAGAGTCACTTCTATCCATTAGGTATACATCTATAGGCCTAAAGTAGAGCAGATAACACCTAAGGTTAAACTTTGGGTCTCCACATAAATTCTGTAAAGGGCTCTGTGGCAAACTTTTTAAATTGGCTTATCAATATCAATTGCATCTTCCTGTATAGGAAAGGCTAGAAAACAAAACACTATTTTCAATACTCCCTGATACCTAGGGTTCTAAGTGCTATGCAGGTCACACCAAGCAGAAGAATGGGAACAGTTAAATGAGGAGAGAAGGAAGACGAAGAGAACCCACTGTGCTGGCTTGGATCACACTAGAAGCAACCTGGTTCTGGGGCCAGCATCTGTCAAAATGGCTTCCTGGTTTTGCAGAGTTTCTTGATTCTGGCAGAAGCAGCTGGAGCACCAGCCTCCTAGTTCCCCAGACTGCTAGTTAGCTTCCTAATCATGGAGGTAGAGGGAGCATCCTTGGCCCAGCTCTAATGTGAGGCTTGGGAACTGATCTTGGCTGAGTCTCCATCACTCCCTGTGATTAATGAAGCACTTCTGCTGAAAGTAGCGTCAACACACTGTTCTCAATTGGGAACAATTGAGAACAACACTGGGTCTTACCAAGGTTCCCCACTCCTAAAAGGGTCCTGGCATCTAGAACATTTCATGTTTTCCAGGGCTATAGTTTGTGGAGAACCTTAGGACAGAAGACATGCTCAAAGGCAGACAGCCCTTATCCAAGGCTCAGGGACTTTAGGGATTTCCCAAAGAAAAAATAAACAACTAAATCGCATTGACTCCTCCTTCAACATTGGCTGCAGGAAAGTTCCTCTGACCACATAAACTAGGTTAGACTCCCAGCTGCATGATCCTGAATTTAGACCCAGAATTCACTCATCATGCAATGTACAATAATTATTTATTATGTATAATCCTCCAGGCCTGCCTGCTGAGTTCCTGGAGGACAGGAAATTTATTTCATTCACTATAATTGTTTACATTGAAAAAACTGAAGAATAATCATAAATTAGAAAATCTGCCATTTTAAAGTATATACTTAGTGKTTTTTTTTTTTTTTTKKTGTGTGTGTGTGTGTGTGTGTGTGTGTATGTGCTATTGTGCAACCATCACCACCATCTATCCAAAATAATTCCTTCATTCCAAAAAGAAACCCTGTACCTATTAGCAGTTAGTCCCAATTCCCAACTCTCCTCAGGCCCTTGCTACCATTAATCCACTCCTCTGTCTCTACAGATTTGAACATTTTACTACGCTAGTCACATTTTATTGCTAACATATGGCTAGTGACTATTATATTGGACATTACATTTTCAGAAAACAAACTAATCTTTCAGAATAACTGCCCAAGGTCAAATTAAAATAAACATCTAATTATTTGATACAAAACAGGGGCATAAAATAAGCCATACATACTAAGGGTTATGAACTGTTCTTTATTTATTCAACAGTAACTTACTTAATACCTTCTAGGAGCATGTCATAGGCTCTGTCATAATAGAGAACAGACATTTTGGGAGACAAGCTTCATACTTCATTTCTTAAGTAAATAATAACTTTAAGGCAACTCAAAATTAAGACTCTGATACAATAGAATCAGTTAACTCCAGCATTGTAATAGTTGTGCTACAAAATTCACTTGAATGTCAAATATTCAGCACATAAAACAACATGGCTAGGTGTTAGCCCTGCAAAGTTGATTGGACCAATAATAAAACTGAAATATTATAGGGTTGCAATTTGAGTCTAAAACTGAAACCATAAGTTTTGTTATTCTAACACCATAACATTTAGAGAAACATGCCCAAACACATATAGACAGTCCTTAAGGCATTTAACATGGTTGACCAGGCTCAAAGTCCAGCTTCACTTGAACAAATGAGAGTCAGGAAAGAGGGAAGAAGCTAAATACTGACTTTAGAGCCAAGAGCCCTATGAGCCTGAGGCTAGGATCAGTGACCTGTGACACTGTTTTCAGATTTTTTGGTTCTAGGAATCAAAATACGTTTCCCCTTGTCAAGACATGAGATGAGGCGGAAAACAGAAACACTGGCCACAGACGAGGGAATTGGCTCCCTCAAGTCTGGTACCATGCCATGGACATGCAGAGTTCAGGAGTGAGGGCAGAGGGGGCTGGAGCTGCCAGCAGACAGCCAGCCAGCTTGAGTGGAGAAGCAGAGAGGGTGACACTTCACCCTACACAGGGATCCTGTTGGGGTAAGGAAAGTACAGGACAAGGGGACCTGGAGCTCAGGACAGAACCTCGTTTGAACCTGAAGGTCATATTTAAGTGCATTTGAGAACTGAAAACTAGCTGCTGCTGCTGACAATGAAAAGGAAAACGATGGCTGCGGCTAGCAGCTAACACTGACTGATTTTTACAAAGAACCACCTGCTCAGAATTCTTGACATATATATTGCTGTATGATCCTCATTTCATGAGCAAGAGCTCCGAGCAGTAGAGAGGATAGAACAGAAGCCCTGGAGTCTGATGACCAGGAAGCAGAGGAGAGCCTTCCCAGGGAGGGCTCACTGAAGTTTCATCCAATGTCTGCCAGTTTTCAGAACCACTGTCTTCTTGTTCAGTCTCAGACCAAACAACAAAGAAGGTCTATCTTTCTAAAACCATGAGCTTAACAGTACTCTTTTCCTGGACCCGCAAACAAGCCTTATACACTATGAAAATGATATGCTTTTAGAATTGAAGACACCTGAGTTTGAGTCCCAGGTTCAGCCTCTTAATAGTTCTGTGACTTTGGGAAAGTTATTTATTTTTTTAGCTTTTTTTKAATGCTATCAAAGCAGCAAATGGGCTAAAAAAAAACCTCTCAGAATGTCTGAAGTATTCACTACCCAGCTTACCACAAACTCATCCTCTCCTTGCCAGAAAAGCCCAAAACAATAAAATAACCAATCTCCTAAAACAATACTAAAAACCAAGCCCCTGAACCCTTCACCGAACATCTACCCTAGGCTCAGAAATGAACTTAAGTCAGCACAACTCTGCCAACAGGAACAAAGACTAGGATGAAGACACTTTGCTCTATTTCACACTCAGAACTTGCAAGTCATAAAAAACCCTTGTGCCTTGTCCCCTTCCCTACAGGGAGCCAAGCCACATTCTGAGCTCAGACTGCACCATCCAGTGTAGGAAGGGTGAAACCTTCTGAATTCACATGGTAAGAATGACAACAGTTACATTGTATCAAAAAGGTCCCATTTGAAATTCAGAATTTCAGAGCAAGATACAAAAATACCATCAACATGGTCTAAGTGTGCAATTTACTCTGATATCATTTCATTCCCAGAAAAATCTCACTTTCCATAAAAGTAGAAAAAAATGAAGGCATAAATAATATAAACTGACAAAGCTTAATACATTCTTCCAGGTCTTCCTTGGCTCTGGGGTATGTTACACCCACAGATAGAGAATCTCCAGTTTTGGCTCTCCCTGAGCAATGAAGTCCTTGCCCACTCTAGGGCTGGGCCTTGGCCACTGAGATTCCACCATGGGGCCCAGGGTAGTCTTCGTCAGCATGCAACCCATCCATTTGCATGGAACCCTATGCTTAGAAGGGTCCTAAATATGTTTATTGTTGCTATGTTAAAATTATTAATAATTGATCATCATTAATAGTTCTTAAGAAGAAGCCTTGCAATTTTCTCTTGTACTGGGACTCCTAAGTTATGTATGTGATATAGGTGGTGCCTGACTCAAAATAGGCACTTAATTCACAGCACCAACTGGTGAGGTGAGGGCAGCCATCACACCTGGCTTAAGGCCAAAACTAAATCCGCCTTTTTTTGAAACAGACCAGTTTTTATCCTTCAGAGGGAAAGACTTGGCCTTATACTACAAAAAGCAGGGCAGAGCGTGGGGGATTGCCTTTCTTTGGAAAGCTTGAATAATTAAAACCAATTTCCTTCCTACTTATTCTGCCATAGAGGAGGAGGCCATTGGATGTCTGCTCAGAGTTGCTAGTAACAGTGCAGTTAGTTCCAGCCACCCAACAAGGGCTGGGTTGTGAGGCAGAGCAGCAAACAACGACCTCTCCCAGCACAAGGAAGGGAATGGAAGGAGACATACTCACATCAGTGGATCAGTTACCCTAAGTAGAGAATACAGGACATAAATGAAAGTTAAGACCCAATGTCAACCAAAACATTCAATGGAGAGAAGCATGTCCACATTTTTTTTTTTAGTAAGAACTRAGCATAGAAAACAGTATTTTTAAATTTCATTTTTATTGGTGCATGATTATACATAATAATGGATTCATCATGCCACATTATTAGTATATGTACATAACAATTCGCTCAATTTTCTTCCCCAGTACCTTCCCTTTCCCTCCCCTCCCCCTCCCCATTCACTTGCTCTACTCAACTGATCTTGCTGATGTTATTATTTTAATTAGTACATTATAATTTTATTTATCTAAGCAGGATTCATTGTGGTATACATGGACATAGCATAACTTGGTAGATTTCATTTCTCAGTTCTTCTCCTTGTCCTTCCCACCACCCTCCCTCTCAATCCTTTCTCCTCTATTGGCCTCCCTTCTATTTTAAGAACGATTTTTAAAAACTAGAACTACTTTTAGGAAGAAACAAAACCACTTCTGAAGTTTTCGTTTTCCTAGTCAGAACAATCTTCACAGGAAAACAAATTTATTTATTTTTATGCAAACAGTATACAACTATTGAAAGTGCTTCTATTTCTTCTGTTTGATGTTAAGACTTTAATATGTGGAAGGGCACGCAGGGCATACAAGCACCAGACTCTGCAAACTCATCAACTCTCCAAAAAAGGCAGAGCCCAGTACACAGTCTCACACACACATTTCCACAGAGAACCAAAAGGTTACCTCTAGAAACTTAGATAATTTAACACTAGAAAGAAAAGATCCTGATGTTGGAGATCTCATGGTTGAAAACAGCAAATTCAGTCAGGTAGAAGGCAATCCAGTTAATCCAAATGAAGAATTTAAATTAGCTTTTATCTTAAACAGCTTTACAAAACAGACATCTAGACAGGGTTCTGTTCATTACCTGCCATATTCCAAAAGTGTAGCATGGATTCGAGACTCTTCATCGAGCAGCTCCTCTGCTCCCTGTTGGCGTTTGTATTTCCGACGTGGCTTGTAAACATCCTAAGTGAATGAGACAGAAAAGCAATGGGGAGGGGGGTGAGAAGGACTTCCTGGCTGCTAGATGCCTCCAGTCAGTCAGGAGGAACTGTCTTTCCCCATCATGGCAGAAGTGTCCACGGCTCCGCTGCAGGGCACTCAAGACAGCTGTCCTCAGGGAATCAGCTGTCCTCAGGGAATCTGCTCTACTGAAGACAGAGAGGCAAGGCTCCTGTGAGCTGSGGTGAGAGGCCATGAATGGACCTCTGTCTACGTGAGATGACTTATTTATGCTGAATGCCTCATTGCTGAGAAATAGAAAAGACTACCATGAGGTACAAAGGCTCATTAACAGAAGAGGATCCTTTGCTTTTAACGTTTTGAGTTACCACTGTTAGTGTTCACAGTGTACTCTTCTATATTATTTACAGACATAAAAACAGCCATGGTCTTTTCCCTGCAGCATGAGTAAAAAAAAAAAAAAAAAAAAGGACATGTTTAATATGACAAAAACTTCAGAAAATAGTCCAGCATTGTTTCATTTTGTATTTATTTGAGTTGCATAAGTTTATAACACGGATCTATTCCTGAAACAAGTTTCAAACAGTATGAAGGATGAAACTTCTAAAATGTCCTTCATCACCTTCTCTTTTCCCTACAGTATCCAGCCTCTCTCCAGAGGTCCTACTATCAGTTTGATAGGTACACATTCTTCTGCACCTTTAGAATATAAGATATTGTTTTAACATTTTTTATTGTTTTGCTTAATAGAGATAGTGCCATGAAAATAAACTCAATGTATAAATCTATTTCATTATTTTAAACTACATGTACTATTCCTTAATAGAGACGTCCCCTAGTTTATTTAACCCTTTACTTAGGTACAGGCAGATAATTTCCAAGTTCTTATAAATAATGCTTACACAGATGTGGAAGTATATAGGTAGGATAGAAATTTAGAAATGAACTCACAGATTTGAACAGTGTTCACACTATCAAACTGAGCCAAAAAAAAAGGGATGAGAGAAGACTGTACTGATTTATATGCCCACCAATACATAAATGATATACTTTTGGCAACAGCAAATATTTAAGCTTTCAATTTTCACTCATCCTATGGGTAAAATATATTTTATTGTGTTCACTTGCCTTACTCAAATCATTAGTGAGGCTGGGAATTTTATCTGCCTTTTATTCTGTTCAAATCCTTGTTTCCCTACTGATTAACTTGTCRTTTTCTTACTGATATGTAAGCATACTATATAATCTGAGTATTAATCCTTTGACTTTTATTTAGGTAGCATATATTTTCATTTAAATATTGAGTAGTATCAACTTTCAATTTGGTGGTTCTTGGTCCTATGACATTTTAGATTTTTAATAGTTAGTTTTAGTTATCATTTCCTTCATAGTTCTCAGATTTTATATCTTACTTCTTATTCTAGGGACTTTTAAAAGGAAAAGAAAAACAATAACAAAACCTTATATATTACTTTTTAAATTTATAGTTTACATTTACATTTAACCTTTGAATCTATTAAAAAACATTTTGATATATAAAGTTATAAATCTAATGACTTTTTTCTGAATAAAAATTAAAAATCCCAACATTATTAATTTAATATTATGATTTGAAATGGCACCTACATACACAGTGAATTTCTTTAATTCTTTTTGCTTTATGATTCTCTATTGTATCTCCACTATTCATTTTTCAAATTTCCTGGCTATTCTTAACATTCTCTTCCAAGAGAATTCCAGTATCAGATTGTCAACACATTATGAAAAACACTGTTGGTTTTTAATTAGAATTGCACCAAACTTAGATTACACTGAGAAGAACTGACACCTTTATAATATGGAGTCTTGCATTGAGAAGCAAGGTTTGTCTCTGTTGAAGTCTTTTATTCTTGAAGACAAGCCTTCAAGTGAATAGGAAATCAGTTCATGTATCACAGGCACATATGTTAACCCAAAGTCCTATGAAAAATTTGAAATGGCAAAGGAGATTTCAATTCTTTTAGACTCTAATACCAGAAAAGAAGAGTACTCACAAACCTTCAGAGATACCTATCTTTAAACAAATATTTTGAGGTTTATCCTCAAAAAATTTTATAGGAACATTAAAATTATTATACCCTTTCACTGACTTTATTAGATTGTGTATTTTTGTTTATTTTTGCAACAAAGGCTCATTATGTTGCCCAGGTTGGCCCAAACTCCAGGACTTGGCAATCCCTTTGCCTCAGCCTCCCAGGTAGATGGGATTATAGGTGCATGCCACCACAGCTGTCTAGAGTATGCCTTAGTTATAAATACAGAAGTAAATATAGACATGTTTTGTGTGGTATACATTCTGAAGTTTTATACACATACAAGTACATATGTGTACAAGTATATATGTGTCTACATGTACATATGTATCTATCTTAAACAAAGTTCATGGCATATAATAGTTGACAATAAATGTAGGTCTTCACCCCCAAATGGATGTCCTTCTTGACTGCTAAGCTGTAAGTCAATTAATACCTCATTAAAATCAGGGCACTGGGTGTGAGCTAGCAGCTATTGTGCCAGCAAGATATCTAGTTGCTCATCCATGAAAAACTCACTATCAGGTTTCTTCAGATAATGACATTTTTATTCCATTTAGAATTTGTCCCCCTTGATAATTCTGGTTAACCGTACCATTGTTTTACTTTCCATTATGAAAAATTTTAAGCAATCTATGACACACACTATATAATCTCAACAATTTGATGGAAAAGGGAAAGAATCAGAGCCTGGTAGGATGCTGGAGGGCTGTTCTCATAAACTGCTGCCACAAATATTCCCTAGTGTGTTCCTGGTGTCTACATGAATAGGAAGCTATAAATAACATAAAAGAGACATAGTGAAATGAAAAATATAATGAACCCACATGACATAGTTACTGTGTATAATTTAATTTCCCCTGAGCTCTACTATTATACCAGTGCTATATAATTGAGCTTAACTGCTATCTTCCTTAGTTACCACTGAAAAAGTCAATGACCCAAGGCAGGAAATAGGATTCTTCCAAAAAAGAACTGACTCCAAAACAATAGCATACTGAAACCAACAGCTAAAAGGACCTTTTAGTCTGCCAAATAATGACTATGTTGACTTCTGAATGGACTTCACACTTTAAAACATATACCATCATATACATATTTTGTATTTTATAGCCACACCATGAGAGAGAGGCAAAACACAAACTATTATTTTCACTTTAGTATTAAGGAAGCAGAGAGGAAATGATTTGTCCAAGATATGTACGATAGTGTTCAGCCTAGGATATTATTAGGCCTTAGGTACACTGGCTTCTAATTTCTTTTCTTTCTTTCTTCTTCTTTTTTTTTTTTTTTTGGTATAAGGGATTGAACCCAGGGGCACTTAACCACCGAGCTACATCCCTAAACCCTGTTTTAAATTTGAGACTGGGCTCACTGTTGCTGAGGCTGGCCTTGAACTTGTGATCCTTCTGCCTCAGCCTCCTGTGCCACTGGGATTATAGGTATGAGTGCAAAGGTTTTTTGTTTTTTTTTTTTTGTTTTTTTTTTTTTTGCTGCGCTAACTTGCCCTTGGTAGAGGTTCTAGCCACCCACCAGCCATTGCAGCTGGCCCTCTCACAAGACTCATTATACAATCTGAAGCTGCTATGTGGATCATACAAGGGTTTACTTTGAAAACCTAACTTTCAGGTTTCCAGGCCAACTATAAAGAACTACTGCTAAATTACTCTTTAAAGCAACAGGATTCAGGAATGCTGATGTTGAATCCCATCTCTGTCAGTAACCAGCCCTATGATGTTGGGGAAAGCAGCTCCCCTCCAAAGACCCATTTTCTTATCTATAAAATGAAGGTAGACCTAAAGTTCTTGAAGGATACTCTTAGACTCTCATTTGTTATGATTTCTTAATCCTATAAAGATACTAACTTGTTAACATAATTCTGTCAATTTAAAGTCTGAGATTAATTTTTTAAATACTATACTTTACATATGATTATTCTTTTTTTAACAAAGCTATATAGAATCAACTTATTTTTGTTTTGCTATTAATTGTTAATGGCAATCATTTATTAATGGTAGGCCAGTGCCACGTGGGCAGACTGCTATAAATGTCCTGTCCACTTGATCCTCACACCTATGGGGTAGTTATCCTTGTGTTCTGTCTACAGGCAGAGAGGTTAAATAACTTCTCCATGGTTACCAAGGCAATAAGTGATAGAAACAGGATAAAACTAGAATTGGGACTAGACACATTCTATGAAATGTTTTATAATCCAACTCTGATCATCCTTCATGGGTTCTGATATTTTGCCTTGGAAGATAAAGGACACACAAACAGCGGTAAAAAATTAAGGTGACCCTTTTGTAAAGAGTTCTCTAACTTTTGCACTGAGAGTCAGATCTACTTGCAGATCTGATTATGAGTCAGTCTCACCTGTCATTAGTGATGCCTCTGAGCCCACTGCTCGGAATGGCAGGGCAGAGAAGTAGAACAGCACAGCACCACGGCAGCGCCTGAAGCAAATCCCTCATCGCTGCCCTCGAAATTATGGCAGACAACTTCTTTACTGAAATATCAGAGCAGGCCATGAAGCAGCCACTACCAATCTGGCATTCTACATTCAAAAGCTCCAGTGGATCAGACCATACCCGACTCAGCAGGAAAAGGCATTTCCCTGAGTCACCTCCATGGACCTAACCACTCATTCTCACAGCCCAAGCTCAACTCCAGCAGACATTCCTCAGCCCCAGAGCCTGTGAATAAACCCTACCTCCCCACCTGCTTTCACCACCAGGTGCAAAGTCTTAAAGATTCTATAAGGAAAAAGCTGTAACTGGGACAAATGAAATGTTTCCTGCTGCACATTAATAAAATAACAAACAAAACAAGCCTCAGGTATGGAGTGAAGGAAAGGAGAGATGGATAGATGGCAATCTTTGTGTCCCCAACCTTATTCCTATCTATTTGTTCCCTTTTACATAAGCAAAGAGG